ACAACCGCCCAAAAGAAAAAAAATATTTTAAAAAAAAAAAAAAAAAAAAAAGAGTTACGTTAAGTCATCCCCAGCCCTTCATATCTGATTGAGTTCTTCGTCTCCCACCTTTTCAATATCTCAATCCTTGGGTTGTCTTTAGCAAGAGTTCTTTTTTTATTTTTTAATTTTAGGTGTATGTTTGCTGGAGAGAGACAAAGGACAATGAGAGGGAAAGTGAGAAATCACCTTCTGAGGTGGGAAGCCATGCCACAGTCTCTTCTCCTCCCCTCTTGGCATGATTTTTAACCCTCCGAGTCAGGGACTCTTGAACTGCAGTCAGCCATGGTGGGAGTCTAGCCCCTTAACCACCAGGCCACCTGCTGCCTTCTTACCCTCCCCCACCCTTATGATGTCTCCTTTTAGTAATTTTTCATTCAGTAGTTCCCCCTTCCTCTGTGTTTTGTCTGTAACTCCCTCACTGTATTCCTGGTTGAGCCCAATCTCACTCTTGTCTGGTGGCAGTGGTCTTGAACAGTCTCCCTGACCATTTGAACAAGCATCAGCATAATTTTTTTTAACATTTGTCTTCTCACCCGTGTCTACCACCCCATCCTCCTAAGACTGCAAACTAGCAACTGTGATTTAGGGAAGGTGGTGTCTGCCTTTGAATGACTGTTTTTATTAGGCAGAACTGTATCAATGATTTTAGAACTGAGTGTTGCATTTTTATGTGAAAGATTGAGTTTTATACTTTGCAGTTTTCCCAGAAGCATAAGCAGAACCAGGCACCACTGTCCTTAGGGATCAAGTCAATAGGAAAAGAATCATCACGTTCAGGGATGAGTATAAAGGCAAGAGTCAGAGAGGGCTGTCTGAAGTCAAGGCCTGCAGGAAGCGAAGCAAGATGAGGGACACTTGAAGACATGCAAGGAAAATTAGGTATTCTTGCTGGGAAGCCCATCTGTTAGGATAGAAACCTTTTCCATTTTTCCAGTGCCTCAGGTTAGTCCTCCTGCAAAGGTAATACTGTGCTGACTTCTGTTCCTGTAGATGAGCTTTGCGTTGCATTTCTTTCGTAGGGCTGACGTAACAGAGTTCCCTGAACTGTTAGCAGAAGCTTGTATCACAGTTCTGGAGACGAGAGTCTGAAGTCGAGGTGTCAGCAGGTCATGCCGCCTCTGACAGGGGTCGGGCATTTCTTTCCTTTTTCTGCTTTCCTGTGTTCCCTGGCATCCTTGGTGTCCTTGGCTTGTCCCTGCATCGCTCCAATCTTTGCCTCCAAGGTCACACAGCCATCTTTCCCTGTGTGCCTTCACATACTCTTTCTTTCGTGTGTGTTCCTGTGGCCGTATTTCCCCTTTTTATAAAGATACTAGTCATATTGGACCTGGCCTACCCTACAGACCTCATTTTAACTTTCGTCTTTATAAAGATGTTGGGAATTACAACTTCAATCTATCATTTGAGTGAGACAGTTTGATCCATGTACTATTTTTTTTTTAAGAATTATTTATTTATTTTAATTTAACCAGAGAGGGACAGAGTGAGAGAAAGCGAGAGAAACAGAAAGTGAGAAAGCAAGCCACCAGGTCCAGGACTCGAGCTGTGGTTGGCCATGTGAGAGTCCAGTGCCCTTAACTACCATGCCACCTGCCAGCCCCTGTGCTTTTTTTTTATGTTATTCATTCAGAATCATGTAGTATGGAGTCTTTTGCACCTGGCTTACTTCAGGCAGCATTATATCAGTGAGATTCATCCATGTGGCAAGTTCATTGTCAGTCATCGAAGGCCAGTAATTATGGCCTAAAGGTCAAATGTGGGCCATGATTCATTTTTTCCCATATGGATATTCAAGTATTGCGTAAGAAAATGTTGTTAATTTCTATAATACTTTCTTTCACGTTTATCTTTGTTTGATTAGGAACTAATTAAATGAATACCAAATTTTAAAAAAATTCAAAAAATTTTCCAGAAAGTGTATGTGCTTACTAGAGAGACAGACAGAGAAAGAGAGAGGGAAAAAGCATCCCCAATGGTGAATGATCACGCCACAATCCCTCCTGCTCCATTTCTCTCTTCTTTGGGGGGTTTTGAACGTGCGCACACATGTGCCTGATGTTTCTCAAGCTGCCAGGCCCAGAGCTCCAGTCATGGAGGGAGCTACATAGGGACAGCTTCAGTAACCACCAGGCCATTGACTGGCCCTGAAAATAAATTAAAAAAAAAAATTTCCAGAAGGGTGCATGTGTGCATGAATGAGAAAGAGCACCCTGCAATGGGGCATGGTCATGCTGTAATCTTCTTTCCTTCATTTGTCTATCATGTCAGGATTTGGGGCACATGCATGTATGTGTCTGACATGATTTTTAAGCGGCTAAGGCTGGTATTTGAACTGCAATTAGCCACGTGGGATCCATCTTCCCGAACTGCTGAATTGCAGGGCCAGTCCTGAATCTTCAATTAAAAGAAAACTTTATAGCCCTTCTTCCCATGACAATCAATATATTACCTTTGTGTATATGTGGTTGCGTATATTTATTTACATATTATATATAATATTATATGCATGAGCTTTTATTATTTATTTAGGAGAGATTTTTGCTGAAGGGCATGTGTGCTTGCTGGAGAGACAGAGAGAGATGAAGAAAGAGAGTGAGAAATTACCCTTAGGGGGTATAGCCACCCCACAGTCCCTTCTCCTCCATTTTTCTCTCAGGATTTTGGGCATACATGCACATGCACCCAGTGTGAGTTTCAAGCCACTGCTTCTGGGAATCAAACTGTGGTTACCCATGTAGGAGTCCAACATCTTTACCACTTCGCCACCTGCTGGCACCCTGTGCTTTTAAATTTTTGACAGATACCACTAAATTACCACTCAAAAAAGGCTGCACCAATTATACTTCATGAGGTGTTTTATTATTGTTTTTAACTACCAGAACTTTATCTATACTTCATAAAATCTAGAATAAGGCAGTTTGGATTGATTTATTCTGTTGTTTCAGAACAATGAGATGGTGGAGTTACAGAGAATACGGATGAAGGATGAAATCCGAGAATATAAATTCCGAGAAGCCCGACTGCTTCAGGACTATACCGAACTGGAAGAGGAAAATATCACATTGCAGAAACTAGTGTCCACATTAAAGCAGAACCAGGTAAGATTTAAGTTTTCTTTTTTTAGTTATAGATGGATCTGTGTATTCTTACCATCAGGGTTAAATCTCCTCTTTGGGTCTCAAGAAGGAACTTGTCAAATTTTTTATAATCCCATAGTCTTCTCCCCACAATTTTATGTGCAAATCTATGTGCTAAATTTTCCCAACCCTACTGTTTCAGTCAAATGTGAAAGAAAAAACAATACACTTATCAGTAGTCTAGTTTATAATAAAGCTTTATTAGGTAAGAAGAAGAATTTGAGTTTATATTTTAGTTCATGTTAATGTATTTTAGAAATAAGTCAAATATATTATAATACATTTAATGTGATGACTTCACTGTAAAAGTTGGGGTCTATAAACTTTTTTATGCTACATCTTAAGGTCTCTTTTTTAATGTAAATTGCTTTCAAATCATAGAAGGTAAGTGATTATGAAATATAATTCAGTAAGAACAAAAATCATAAGACGAAAATGCCTGATTTCTTTTTCAACTGTAACGTGACAACAGAGATTACATATTCACATTTAAATCTTTGTTTCCGTAGTGAGGCTTAGATAGCTCCATTTTTCCTGATGGGTTTGCATTGTGGGTTTTCATGGTTATTAGTAATTGCCTTGCTGAAGTCTGTAATTTGAGAATTTATTTATGATTACTGTTGTATCAGGCGGTTATGTCGAGGTAAATCGGATAGTCAAGTTTTTTCAAGGTGCTTCCTCCATCATAGCCTCTATCTGCTCTCTGTACTGTTGTCTGTCGTCACCTCTCCTTCCAGGTGGGCAGGCTGTGGGCCAGGCTCTGTGCTAGGCTGGAGAGACACAGGAATCCACCGGGCGTAGTTCTTAGCCTCACTACACTTAAAAGCCACCCCCAATGTATACTTCTGTGTCCACTCATTTCCCAAGTGGATATCTATTCTGAAATAGCATTGGTTTTGAAATATTTAAGGGTTCAGAGGAGAAAGGAAAAATTCATGTATTGTCACACCTGGAATCTGGTTTCTGCCCATTGCCACGTCCCCCCAGCTTGGAGTGTTGGGGGACAAGATGTCCATTAGAGTGTGGTGGGATGCTTTAATTCCATCAGAAAAGGTTTTCCCAGACATCCCCACACGTTTTTACCTTATTCCTTCCCTGTGAGTTCCTAATCCACGTGGGTGTCTGAGGCTGGTGCCCCATGTGCATTTCAGGTTGTGAGTTGCCTGGGGTAAATGAGCTCCCGGTGGAGAAGTTTAGATTTGGGGGAATTTTTTTTTTTTTAATATGCTTCTCCGCTACTTCTTAAAATAAGAAAAATAATTTTCATGGCTTGTATTTGGGGTTGCTGATGAAGAATGTTGAGGACTTGAAACAAATTTACGTGACACACAGCAATTTAAAGTGGCTCTGACGTCCCGAGTCCTTCAGTCCTCACTGCTCTCCGGACAGGCAGCAGAGCGTGCAGACGGCCTCCCTGTAGAGTCTTCCGTGACTGCCTGGGGTAGACTAATTTACTCAGGAGGTTAATTAAGGCCAGTATTGGGTATTCTTGAAAGGCTGCCAAGGTATCCTGTGAGTGGTCATTAACCCAGATGCCATGTCTGTGGGAGTCGTGCTACCAGCCTGGCTGATTACTGCTCGTACTTTACCCGTGTCCCTTCCATCAGTGTGTGGAACACAGGGATCCAGTGGTTAACTCAGAAGCTTCAAAAAGGTAAAGAGAAGATTATATATCTCTTTAATTTTATTTTCTAGATGCCATATGGTAATTTCCCCAACTAAGTGTCCAATTAATTGATTCAAAATCCATACGAAGGGCCATTTTGGCTTGTTCCTTAACAAAGGGGTGCACTGAAGTACCACAGATCTCTCCCAATTAAGGAAAAGTGCGTTTCCCCCTGTTATTGGCCCTCATTTACTGAAGTTACATCTACCATAATTCTCTTCCTAATTAATGAAATAGTAAGTATAATGTTTTAATGAGAGCAATGAGGATAACTGACATTCAATCCCAAAATTGGTCTGGATTACTTTGTACCAAGCTCCCTATACTTCATAATAGTCCCCCCAGTTCCATCTGATATTTCTCTAAACGGCTAAGCTGCTGGCATTATAAAATGCTTTTAGGTCACGAGAGATCGTTCCCTTTTGAAGTTTTATTTTTCTTTTAACTATTTATTGATTATTTTCTAAATCATTGTTGGTAATATATCTCCTCTCTTCCCTAGATGGTGTCTGTTTATTAATTTATGTTTCCTTCTCCTGCCACTAAAATGTAAGACATAGAACAGGCCTGGCCTGAAGCAGACATTAAACAAATAGATGTTGAAAATACAGAAAATTATTTTTCTTTTTCTTACATTTATACTTCAAATGAGAGAGGACACTAAAATTTCAGATTACTATAATAAACTATATTAATTTTTATTTGGAATGCTAATTATGAAATACACGGACACGTTGAAGAATTGACTCTGAAACTTTAGCTACTTTTTTCAGTGGGCCAATTTTACCTTTTATTTTTTCTTCACTTACCAGAGAGTACTTGTGCTTGCCTGAGAGCAGAGATGGTGGGGAGAGAGAGAATCTATTAATGGAGCATAGCCACACTGTGATCCTTTACCTTTCATTTTTCCATCCCATCCAGCCTGAGCACACATGCTCACACACTGGTGTGTTTTTCAGGCTGCCAGGGCCAGGATTCAAACTGCCATCAGCAGTCCACGTACAGCGCTCAACCACTGCACTAAGGGGCCACCCTATACGTCTTTATATTTTTACCAACATACTTGAAAGAAGTGTAGGAAGAGAAGCAGAAGCCATAAGAAGTCAAGTTAATTGTCAGTTCCCCAACTGACGACCAGAAAAATCCAGTGATTTTACAAAGCTGTGTATTCGACAAGTGACAATAACAGAATCCACCCAGAGAGAGCCTCAGTAATGTCTCAGAAAGGGAGAGGCAGGGGAAGGTGTTCATGCGGTTTTAGAGCCTGTGCTGTGAGGCTTTAAGGCGGGTTTTTCATAGTGGGGCTACTGGTCGGGATAGACAGAGTTAAGTCAGAGCTTTGAGCTGAGAGATACAGCACACTGAAGATCTTGAAGTGATTCTGTAGAAGCTGTTCCAGATGGACCAGTCTTATCTTTCAGGAGGAAGTTTTTCCCTCAAGAAGCTAAGATTTCCTCTGATGTCTGATCCCAGTATTGTTTAAGATAGGAAGAAGGAAATTTGCTTAGTCCTAGTATAAGGCAGGAAATCATGTCAGTGTCATTTTTTTGGAATGCTCCAGTAAGAGAAGAAAAACGAACTCTATGCTCCAATATATCACCTAGTGAGCTGAAATGCTCAGTATATGTTACCTAACATTGAAAACTCGTGTTAAAACGAACAATTCAATCATACTTCTCTTAGGAAGAACATTTCCTCTGGGATCTTTTTCTGTGTCATGTCATAAGAGACCTAGAGAATGTATTCAATTAAGATCTTTTTCACGTAACCAGCATTTCGCGGATAGCTTTCAATGAAGCCATGCACTTTTTTCTCCTTTTTTTTTGCCAGAGGGTTCATGTGTTCATCAGAGAGAGAGAGACCACTCTATAGTAGGGTGTAGTCATGACACAATCCTTTTTCTCCCACCCCTGCCCTTACTAGTAAGTGTAATATGACTGGTACTGTCCATGCGCTATGAGAACTGATGGCTACTTTGAGACATGTCCTTCAAGGGGTCAGGTATGCCTCTTCATCCCACTGCTTGGGAAATAATCAAGACATTAAGCCACGTTAGATTATGTGACCCAGAGTAGAAGGCAGCGCAGTGGGACAGAAGAAGCCTGGTTCCTGGATGACCTCATAGAGCAGGGATTTCCTATTGGCCCCGGGCTATCTGCCTCCATACTCTTGGGTTGTAGGAAAAGTCATAACACATTTTTGCATAGAAAAACAGAAAAAAAAAATCATGACTTTTCTGAAAACCCAATATTACATGAGAGAGAAACGAATTTCTGTCTTGACTAAGTAACTCTACTTTAGATCTCTGTTACTACAGCCAAATATATGATACATCCAACTAAATCTAAAACTAGATCCCACACTGTTATCCTAATGTTTGCAAGACAAACCATTGCATTGAGATTATGTTAAGGTGAGGGGAGGTACCAGCAGATGATGTAATGGTTACGTTGCTGGACTCCCATGTTGTCAGCTATGGTTCAAGTCCCAGACTTGGCAGCTTAAAACTCACGTGAGGCACATGTACATACGTGTCCAAAATCCCAAGAGAAGAATGGAGGAGACGGAATTGTGGCATGGCCCGCCCCCCTAGGGGGTGATTTCTTGCTTTCTGTCTCTCTCTCTCTGTCTCCAGTGAGTGCACATGCCCTATAGCAAATCTCTCTCTCTAAAAGAGAAAAAAAGAAGAAAGGTGAGGGGACAGGGAGCATCACAAGGGGAAAAATAAAAAAATTATATAAAAACAATAATGGCCTGTGGTACCTATTTTTCAGGTTTTGTTTGTTTGTTTGTTTGTTTTTAAATTCTAGTTTAGGACCAGTTCATGGCCTGGTGATCTAGATGGCTATATCCCATGGCCAACTGCACAGTTTGAGTCCTAAACTCAGCACCTTAAGAAACACACTAGGTGTGTGTGTGTATTCCTAAAATCCTCAAAGGAGGAAAAGGGATTGCTGGGTACCATGCCCCATGGGCAGATGCTTTCTTGCTTTCTCTCCCTCTCTATCTTTCTAGTAAGCACAGATGCCCCCTAGCCAAAAAAATTAAAAAAAAAATTCCAATTTAAATTAATGTAAATACTAAAAGAGGGCTGGCAGGTGGCATGGTAGTTGCAGCATTGGACTCCCTCATGGCTGACGGCAGTTCAAGTCCTAGACCTAGCAGCTTCCTTTCTCTTTCCTTCCTTCTGTCTCTCTCTCTCTTATTCTGCCGTCTCTAGTCAAATTAAATAAGTAAATAAATAAATAAAGTTAAATAAAATCTTTTTTTTTTTTTGAGAGGTTTTTGCTATAGGGCACATGAACTGACCAGAGAGACAGAAAGCGAGAAATAATCCCCCCAGGGGGATGGCCACATCACAGTCCCTTCAACTCCATTCTCCTCTTGGGATCCTGGGCACGCAAACACACACACCCAGTGTAAGTTTAAGGCACCAGGTCTGGGATTCGAACCGTAGTTGGCTACATGGGAGTCCATCAACATAGCCATTATGCCAATCGCTGGTCCCAATAAAATAATTCTTTAAAAATATATATATAAATACTAAAAGAAATGTAAAACTATAGTCTCTATTAGTATCCAATATCATGATGACTTTATTATGTTACTTTTTTCTGTTTTTTTTTCCCCCCCCCCCTAAAAAAGTCATTTGTTTATTCAGCAAATTCTTATGGAAGACTGGAATTCTGTTTTAAATACTGTAAAGGAACATCAAAGCAATGTAAGGGACTCCTAAGTTAATGAAAAATACTTTCTCTCTCTAAGGAAACTACAATGCAGTTGCAGAAATAAAATGTTTATTAAAATAATATGCCATAAGTGCTTTGGAAAAGGTCCCGGGGAAGACATGTAGGCCCAGAGGAGAGATCCTTGACACCTGTGGGCTTTCTTGACCAAGAGTGTGTTTGAGCAGCTCTTATTTGATTGCAAAAAAAAAAAAAAAAAAACTATATTGATTACATATAGATAACAATATTTTTTTTGTTATTGGATAATTGTAATTGTTCCTTACATATAGATAACAATATATTTTTTTGTTATTGGATAATTGTAATTGTTCCAGATTCTATCCTTAGGCACATTAAAAAATATTTTGCTTTCTCATTTCACCCACAAACATATTTTATTGAGATTATGTTCTTATTGTTATCTTTTAATTAATTTATCTCTGGGTAGAAAGAGTTCCTCATTATTAATAAGGAAATAAAATAAAGCAATAATGATAATAAAATCTTAGATTGTGGATAATTGATAAATTATTACATAGTAAATTCCTAATTTATTAGGCAAATAGTGCCCGCTTTTTGACACTGGATTTTATAAAAGAAATCCTAAAACATTAGACACCCTTTTCATTTCTAAGATTTACGTACAAGGGCCAGCAGGTGACATGGTGGTTAAGGGCACTGGACTCCCACATGTTCAACCCTGGTTCAAGTCCCAGACCTGGTGGCTTGCTTTCTCACTTTCCCTCTTTGTCTGTCTGTCTGTCTCTGGTCAAATTAAATAATAATAATAAATGAAGTTACATAAAATAATTTTAAAAAATAATTGCATATATACAAATATGTACAATTATATATAACATACTATTAAAATGTCTAATTATGTGTATACATACGCACACATAATTTCTTTTTTCCTTTTTTATTATTTTAATTTCTTTTTTTCTTTTTTTTTTTTGGAGAGGTTTTTGCTATAGGACGCGTGCGCTCTTCTTTTTTTTTTGGAGAGGTTTTTGCTATAGGGTGCGTGCGCTCGCCAGACAGACAGAGAGAGACAGAGAGATAGAAAGCGAGAAATCACCCCCCAGGGGGGATGGCCACGCCACAATCCCTTCTTCTCCATTCTCCTCTCGGGATCTTGGGCATGCACGCACATGCGCCTGACGTGAGTTTTAAGCCACCAGGTCCGGGACTCGAACCGCAGTCGACTACGTGGAAGTCCAGCGACATAGCTATTACGCTAACTGCTGGTCCCTTTAATTTCTTTTATACATTCAATCACTATACATCGCTACTGCTTATAAAGTGAATTTACCCAACGTGAATACACTTCACACCAATTCAGTTGAAGATATGATATACATTATCTTCAACCGATAATACCTCATTTCTAATTATGTATGTTACCCTTAAGTGTACACTGAGTGATTGTTATGATTTATTTTGTAGGTTGCTGTTAACAATTTTTTTTTCATTATTAGGCCCACTAGAGTGTTTAATGGCAGTTTTGTAAGACCCAAATTTTAGTTTTATGAATCTTCTTTATCCTATCTGATTCAGGTTGAATACGAAGGCTTAAAGCATGAGATTAAACGATTTGAGGAGGAGACGGTGCTACTGAACAGCCAGCTAGAAGATGCCATCCGATTGAAAGAGATTGCTGAGCACCAGCTGGAAGAAGCCCTTGAGACCTTAAAAAACGAAAGGGAGCAGAAGAACAACCTGCGGAAGGAGCTGTCCCAGTACATCACCCTCAATGATAACCATATCAGCATCTCAGTAGATGGACTCAAGTTTGCAGAGGACGGCAGTGAACCGAACAACGATGACAAAATGAATGGGCATATCCATGGGCCGCTTGTGAAACTGAATGGAGACTATCGGACTCCCACCTTAAGGAAAGGAGAGTCTCTGCACCCTGTCTCTGACTTATTCAGCGAACTGAACATTTCAGAAATACAGAAATTGAAGCAGCAGCTCATGCAGGTAAGACTTGACTTTGTTTAGGGCTGCTAGGGTGAGTTTCTTGTAGATTCCTTGTGATGTGTTGTGGGGCTTATGATGGTCACATTTTAGTTGCAGATTATTTTTTAAAATATGACGTCTTCAACTAGCAACTGGGAAAGTAACAATATTTTAGAAAGACACGACAGAAGAGGTGTTGAAGAGAAATCTCTCATTTGCATCACTGAGTTCCTAAAGAGACAAAGTAGATTCCAGACAGGTCTGAGAAAAGACGGAGCCTTGATGCATTCCTGACTAACAAAGAATTGTGAAATGAGAGAAAATGCAGTTTTCTATCACGAGAAACTGTATATATAGCGTCTAGGTTAAGGGTTGCATTTCACAGTCATACTTTAAAGCCTTAAAAGACATCAAGGGTATCCTATATAGAAATTAGCCAGGATATCATACGGTTAAAAATACAGAGCAGGTTTGAATTTGAAACCAAATGTTCCCTCTAAAATGAGCTAGGTCTTTTTTTTTTTTTTTTTTTTTTTAGGAAAGTTTTTTCACTAGGGCACAAGTACCGAGAGATTTTTGCTCTAGGGCACGTGTACCCGCTGGAGAGACAGAGAGACAGAAAGTGAGAAATCACCCCCTGGGGGGGATGGACATGCAGCAATCCCTTCTCCTCCATTCTCTCAGGATCTTGGGCACGCATATGTGCCCAAAGTGATTTTAAGCTGCCGGGTCTGGTACTTGAATCATAGTCGACTATGTGGGAGTCCAGCAACGTAACCATTATGCCATCCGCTGGTCCCAGGCCCTCCATTTTTAACATCGTCAAATGAAATGTCTTGTAAAGAGTCTGGGTCTTGAACCTTAGTCTCTTAGCAAACCTTCTAGTTTAGGCAGTCCTCTCTGCCATCCTGACAGCACTGCTAATGGAAATGTTATCCAAGAACAGCAGCAACGTCGTCCTCTGGGGGCCTGTTTGTACCACAAATTGCTGGGCTCCATGCTGATCTACTGAACCAGGAATCTGATTTAACCAGCTTGTTAGCTGATTAATTTGAGGATTAATTGTCAACTCAATCTTATCCCTCCTAAGTTCTTCAGGTAGAGCTGATAATTAGAAGCTGTTAAGACTTGGACAGTTATTTTTATAACAAGGAGAAAACCTCCACAGAAACGATTCTGGGAAAAATGAGATTAGCAGAAATAAGTGAGAGCAGAAAGCTGGGGCCTGCAGGTGGCATGGTGGTTAAGGTGCTGGCTCCCACATGGTTGACTGTGGTCGAGTCCTGGACCTGGCAGCTTAAAAGTCACCCAGGCATGTGTGTATGCCTGCCCAAAATCCCAAGAGGAGAATGGAGGAGAAGGAATTGCAGTGTGACCATCCACCCAAAGGGTGACTTTTTGCTGTCTCTGGCAAGTGCATGCACCCTATAGCAAATATCACTCTCAAAAAAACAAACAAAAATGACGTTAATTCTTTAATAAGTTTATTTTTTTTAATTATTTTTTGGAGGAGTTTTTTGCTATAGGGCACGTGTGCTTGCCAGAAAGACAGAGAGAGACAGAGAGACAGAAAGAAAGAAGGGGCCCCCCAGGAGGGATGGCCACGCCACAATCCCTTCTCCATTCTCCTCTTGGGATCTTGGGCTCACACACACACACGCCGCTCAGCATGAGTTTAAGCCACCAGGTCCAGGACTCACACCACGGTCGACTACATGGGAGTCCAGTGACATAGCCATTACGTCAGCTACTGGTTCCTGTTTTTGATACCATATCAAGAGTTACATATTGTGCACTTTATCTGCCCAGCAGTTGTGGCTGTTCAAAAAGAATTTGTTTTACAACATTTAATTTTTCAAGCAAGATTAGAGAGCATGGCCACTGAAAGAAAATAAATTTCATACAGACTCTCACCTGACTGACAAGTCCATTTCTGTGTAGGTAATTCTTTCTGTGTCTTCTTGCTCAGTTTACACTAATACAACTAGGGCGACAGAAAGAGAAAACATGTTTTCCTTTGAACAAGTTTCACATGACAGACATATTCATCAGAATTTGTGTGCCAAAATTGAATAGCATTAAATAGAATTCATACAAGGTTTCTTTTTTTTTTTTTTTTTTTTGGAGAGATTTTCACTGTAGGGCGCGTGCACTCGCCAGACAGAGAGAGACAAAGAGACAGAAAGCGAGAAATCACCCCCCAGGGGGGATGGTCACGCTGCAATCCCTTCTCCTTCATTCTCCTCTCGGGATCTTGGGCACGCACGCACACGCGCCCAGCGTGAGTTTTAAGCCACCGGGTCCGGGACACGAACCGCGGTCGACTACGTGGGAGTCCAGCGACATAGCCATTACGCTAACTGTTGGTTCCCCATACAAGGTTTCTTAATGTATCATGCTGGTGGCTTTGGGATAAAAGGTTAGTTAAGATGTTTTGTTTCTTTTTACTTGGGTGGCAGAGTACAAGACATTATGAAGAGAGAATTTTTAACCAGGATACTATTTGCTGAAGACTCAGAGCTGTTCTCAGATTTAATCCTAAATGCACTATGAATTGGGGAATAACAAAGTGTAAGAAACATGAATATTTTAATAAAAAGAATGGTGGAGAACATGTAAGTTATCTGCAAGAGAGTGGTTCTTAGCAGAATGTCATCTACATTGGGAATGGGACAAGTCCTCACTGTTGAGACTGTCTCTTCTCTCAGTTGGAGGTGGTTAGGCATCACTAGTCCCAACCCATTCAATGCTGGTTCCATCTCTTCAGACAAAGTGATAACCAGAAAAGCCCCACATAACTTCAAATGCTCTAAGGGTCAGCCACTAGTTGAGAGTCATTCTGAGAGGGGTAGCATTTTACTGTCCCCTAAACTGGGGATAAATTATACCTTCTTCATTCAAGCATTATGAAAACTCATGAGTTGGTAGATGCAGTGTTCAGAACAGGGCTTGGTGCACAGCCCATGCTCAATGATCGTGTTGTCATTATTCAACTCTGTAGTCCCTTTAACTTATCAAATACTGGATTCATTTGGCTATTATTATTATTATTATTATTATTATTACTGTTATTAGCTGTTATTATTAACTACTAGCTCGAGAATAGTGATCTCAGAAAGGCCTGTTGTTTTAAAAATAATGAAAAGAATAATAACAATAATACAAAAAAATGATGAAAAGCCATTTGATGATGATGATGTGGATAGTAATGTTTTTGTCTTGACTGATATGCAGAGTATTCCTGTTGGAAAAAGGAATGTAATACACTGTAAAGATATATGTGACTTAGTGTGATATTAAAAAGAGTATGGTAATAAAAAATTGATAAAGAGAATAATAGCTACTAAACAAAACAAACAAACAAAAGCTGAAGGGCCTGGTATGAGTATTGGCAGAAACACAGGAAGATTTGTGTCATGTCTCACGATTTGAGAAAGTCTAAAAAGGGATGTTCATTTAGCAAAATATTAGGGTGAGAGAAACTTTACTGATTTGACCCTCCTTCAAAATACCTGAAAGCTGTGTGCCTTCAAACCTTCCATCCAGCACTTAACTAATGTTAACAGTTTGTAAAGGTGTAGAGGGGCATAGAGGGGGCCTTACTCCCAGTTTCCTGTGAATTTAGCTATGAAAAGCAGGACTACACAGGAAGGGCTCTGCGACTTCCAGCCTCATACCAACAGCGCTAACTTCTCATTTTTTCTTAAACAGAGTACCATTTATTTTTTTTCATCAGGATTTTTAAAAAAGCATATTTACTTTTTCTAAGAATATCTTTCATTCTAACTGTTCAGTCCAAGTTTAACAGAATGTATCTTCTGAAGAATTATTTCCTTATAGTCTGATAGTTTGCCCTTAGCTTTTCATCCGCTTTATATTTTACACAAATAAGTTGTATAAGCATCACATGATACATTGCCTAGAACTTGTTATAATTCACCCTGATATTGATGAGGCTTGCCAATAATATGGCCATTCTGATAAACAGTGGTACTCGTGCACCCTGAAGCACACGTGTGTGTCGATGTCTTTGTTCTAGACGTTCTGAAGAGGACCTTATAATAAAAAGCACTGCCATCAGCAGGTGGCATAGCAGTTATGTCACTGGACTCCCACTAGGCTGACCGCAGTTCAAGTCCCGAACCTGGTGGCTTGAATATCACACTGGATGCATGCGTGTGTGTGTCCAAGAGTCCAGGAAGAGAAGGGATTGTGGTGTGGCCATTCCCTCTAGGGAGGTGACTTCTCACTTACCCTTTCCCTGTCTCTGTCTTTCTTCAGTGAGCACATTTGCTCTAAGGCAAAAAACTGTTTTAGAAAATAACACTGGCTGGGAACCAGCAGTTAGCGTAATGGCTGTGTCGCTGGACTCCCATGTAGTCGACCGCGGTTCGCGTCCTGGACCCAGTGGCTTAGAACTCATGCCGGGCATGTGTGCGTGTGTGCCCAAGATCCTGAGAGGAGAATGGAGGAGAAGGGATTGCGGCGTGACCATCCCCCCTGGGGGGTGATTTCTTGCTTTCTGTCTCTGTCTCTCTCTGTCTTTCTGGCGAGCGCACGCGCCCTATAGCAAAAACCTCTCCAAAAAAAGCCAAAACAAAACAAAACAAAAAAAACAGCACTGGCTGAAATGCTTGGGGCTAGATGTGTTTGGAAGTTGAGTTTTCCTAAGGTTGAAAGGTCATATACAGGGACCAACAGATGGCATAATGGCTATGTTGCTGGACTCCCATGTAGTTGACTGTGGTTCAAGTCCTGGACCTGGTGGCTTAAACTCATGCCAGGCATGTATGCATGTGTGCCCAAGATCCCAAGAGGAGAATGGAGGAGAAGGGATTGTGGCATGGCCATCCCCCCTGGGGAGTGATTTCTCACTTTCTGTCTCTCTAGTGAGTGCATGTGCCCTATAACAAAAACCTCTCAAAAAAGAAAAAAGAAAACAGAAAGGTCATATACAACATATACCATATCTGTTGTGATGTAATCCAGATGCGGCATTCAAGGATCAAATAATGTTTCTG